ATTTTTCACACACACACACACACACACACACACACACACACACACACACACACACACACACACACACGCACGTGCATAGAAAGAAATCAAGCTGACGCTGGAATGTTTCCATTTAGAGAATTAAAAAATGACAATTGCACTGTGTTTGGCAGCCAGATTCATTTGCAGATGTTTCATTTTCAGCAGAATTGTTGACAGATCTGTTGCTTCTTCCTTATGAAGCTAAAAAATGTATTTCATGTGTTTTGATTTACTGAGCTATAACCTTATAATGCTAACAGAAAAGCAGGATTAGTATTTATTTAGCTGGATCTGCATCATATGCAGTGTTGAGATGGGTTCAGATGTGGCTTGACCGTAGCTACCACAACTGAATGCCATTTGTTTCTCTAAGCCTGTTTATTTACATGAGAATATGCATTAGCACAAAGCCTGAGTAACCTATAGTAACAAAAAGGCAGTGGTAATTTAAGAATTGAACTACACAGTTGACAGTGTGACATCTTGATTGTGAGAGGGGCCTTGTTTTCTTTGATCACCTTAGAAGGAGACATCTGGAAATTATAGGAGGTAGCGTAGGTCAAAATGTCACATGTTTCTTTAATTACCTGAAAATCTGACCTGATGCTAATGAAGGCAGGGTGCTCCCCTTTAAAAGTGAGAGGTTTTGTCAGAAAATCCACCCTAACAAATCTGACTTGTTTTGAGTTTAATTTATGCATTTTTTTAGATAGTGGGCCAAATTATCCATTATTCTGGATTTACAACTTCAACCAATTTCACATTCACTACTAGTTGCATCTCTGGTGGATTTGACCCAGATGGAAACAAATGGAATTATTTCTTATTTAACTGTGTGTGACCGACACCAGAATTTAGTCAGAGGTCCAGGTTCAGAGGCCTATTTCTGGACTTGTATGAATCCTGACCAACTTCATTCCTAACTGAGACCTCTCCTGTCCCTTTTTATTTAAAAAAAGTATATTTAAACAAGTAACCATCATAAACTTTTAATTCACAGTAGTGCTAACCTCTGGTACTTGTCTTGCTTAACTTCAAGCCTGGGTGCCTAGTTGTAGAAGACTTCCCTAAAAGATCATATGGCAGACAACACACTGGGCATGATTATTCAGTGCAATACATTACCATATATACATGACCAGTGCAAATTTGGACTACCAAAGGCATCGTGAAGTTGGGAGATAATTGTAATGGCACCTGTAACATCATATTCAGTTCTGGTCACCTCATTCTGGGAAGAAATTGATTATGGCTATTCAGAAAATAGAATATGCTTTTTTTGGGAATTATAATATTTTACCATTTGTTTTTAGATTTAAATGAAACCAAAAGATGAAATACTGGAATTCTTCAGTGAATAAAAAATCCTGAAGAATGTTATTTGGAAATGAGTAAAATACTGACACTAACAAGTGAAACAAAATACTTCATTTTGAAAGGTTGATACTTTTTGCATTTTTAAAATAACAATTCAAAGCAAGATTTCTTTTGAAAGGTTCCCATTAAAAGATCAGAAAATGTTTATCAAGTGATAGTTTCCTGTGAAAATGTCAACTTCTCTGAAATCCCTTATCTTATTAGGAAACTTTTTTCATCAACAAAGGTTGACCACCTGTAGTAATGATAAACTAGAGGGTGTTCAGAGAACAGCAACAAAAATAATGATGTGGTTAAAGGGATTGATTTGACCAGGAAAGATTAGATTTAAATATGCCTACGTCAGATATATGATAACAAAAGATAACTTGACATATAAATACCTCAAGGGCATAAATAAATATTAAGGAAAGAGAGGAATTATTAAGGATGATACAAGGAAATAAGTAGAAGTAATGAGATTACATTAAAAGTAAGAAAATTTAGACAGACTACTGGCAAATACTTTAGATCTCTACAGGGCAATTACATTGTCTCCCCAGGACTGTTGTGGAAGCTCCATTTCTTGGAACATTTAAAACTAGACCAAGCACTAGAAAATCTAGAGTAAAGAAGAATATTGCCCTGGCTAAGGAAGATGGACTGGGGCTTGATTCTTGGCCGCAGTCGAGTAGCATAGCATGCCCATTATGCTCATTCAAGTTATATGGGTGTAACTGAGAGTAGACTATGCCTTTTATCTCATGCACAGATTAACAAAAAAGCCTAACAGACAAGACAAGAGCCTGAATCTGGTGTCAAGCCATGAAAGGCTAGATGCTGATCCTGAATGGGTTTTGACTGAGATTGGAATTTTGCCGTGTGCTTTTATAGTCTTTTTTCCAGGGAAAAAAACCAAAAAACCAACAAACTGTTTTTCCCATTTCATTACAAGCAAACTGGTGCTTCTGCAAAGACATCCGTTAGCTGCTCACGTGTGTTAGCCAATTTCAAGCCACATCCTGAAAATTCAGCTCTGTTGGCTTTGAACATCTATGTACCCAACTTAAAAATAATTTTCTGATTGTGGAATGACAAATGCATGTAATATCAATCATGAATACTTTTTATCTCTTAAACACACTCTTTCGCTTTAGCTTTCAGAGAACAAGTAGTGTACCCCTCTGTCTAGTTATCTGTATGGCCCTTTGGTCATGGTCCTGCCTGGAGCAGGGGGATGAACTAGATGACCTCCTGAGGTCCCTTCCAACCCTAATTTTCTATGATTCTATCACTGAAATAATGTAGTAAACATGAATGCCTTAATCTATAAGAAATCCAGTCATTTTAATTTTTCAGTCGTCAAGGATCTTGAACTTTCTTTAAATATAAGAGGTTTTTTTAAAGCAAATGCTCTACAGATATTGTTGTACTCAAGAGACTTCTAGTAGGCTTAACTTCTGGTACTGCCACATGAGTCATATATGGGCTTCATGGCTAAGTGGTGTGGGAAAGTACAGCATGGGCTTCTTATCCTATTCCAGACTAGGACTTTGGCTTCCTGAACTGCTAGTTTCCCATCTTTTAAATATAAAAAGGCATTGATTGTGTCCTTTGTCCCATTACAACAATATTTTCCAGGCCTAATATAGATTTTCCCTTTTCTCCATCAAACTTAGGAGGGAGTTTATTGGATAGAGTTGGATTAGCTATTCTTCTTGAATATATAAATATTTGTATTTTTAAGGGGTGAAGTGATAAATGGAGGATTTGGCCTTGTTCTGGATGGATCTTCAGAGGCTGAGAAGCGAGCTAAGATGATGCTCAGCTGGGATGTTTCCAATGGAGTAAGCAAAATTTCCTTTATGAATTTATTTTAAATACAGCTTTTCTGCTTCATAATATGAAGTGCTTGGTGTCCCAGGAGCAGGCAGACAGTACCACAGCTAAGTGTGCAGTAAGAAAATTCTTATCAGCTTTTCTCTGTTATGTCCTGGTTATGGGCTTGATCCAAAACCCGCTGAAATTAAGGGAGTCTTTCTATCCACTTCAGTGGGCCTTTGATCATGCTGAAAAGAGAGGCCCAATAAATCAAGGCACTTGGGGACCTTATTTAGCCTGGAGTACCTGCAATTGCTCTTGCACTCAAAAAGCATAAAGTGCCTAAACATGGACCATGTTTGTCAAGGAGTGTTTTGCCTTCATTAACTGCGGAAAGAGAAGTAAGCCCAAGCTACCCTTAAAATAGGCATCTGCTGCCACAAATATGTAATAGGGTTTATACCTTTCAAATGTTGTAGACCCTTCAATCCAGATGTTACTATTAAGCTTCTGTGAATGCCTCTACACATGTGCTTTACTGAGGAGTTGACTAATTCGTTCTGCAGTAAAGTGTCACTGTCTACATGTGCAGCACTATTAGGCCACAGTAAACTAATTAACTCTGCTGTAGGATAGTACTGCCTGACACAAGTACTATCCTATAATGGAGTTTAGTTCACTACAATGTATGTGTAGATGGTGACTAGGGGTGACTAGGGCTGGCTGGGGCACGAGGATGCTACAGTGCCTGCTGGCTAGCCCCATACCTCGTGCCCTAGCCAGCCCCTCCACAGCATGTTGAGCTGGGGTGGAGCAGCTCCAGGCTGGCAGGCTGACTTCCTGGACCCTCTGACAGCTGGGGCTGTGCCACCCCAGCTCAATGTGCTGCACTCCCAGGCACACGTGTAAATGCTGTGCCCATGAAGAAATAAACTCCATTGCAAATTGCACCAGAATTTATTCAAGCACACTAATTTCACATGTAGATACACCCTGTGAGATGCAGCAGAGATCAAGTTATTTATGTTGACCTATGTCTCATAAAATACTGGTTTGTATGGGGATCTGAATTGCCACAGACTGCAAGCTAGGGCTGAGATTCCCTGATTTGGGGGAGTGTTACCCAGGCTAACACACTGTATGTCTTTGTCTTCCTTTACTGGGTAGACCATATTTATGACTCTGCTCCTGCCTCAGAGTCAATATTTCTGTTAATTTAGATCAAGCAGATGTGGCTCGTGTTTTTTAGATCCAGAGGTCCTGGTTCAAACCCTGCAGACAAACCAGCTACAAGGTGTAATTATATGCAGCATGATTATAAAGGTCAAAACTCATGGATCTTCAAGAAGACTTGTCCTGCTCACAATGATTTGATGTCTCATGCAGACCTATGCTATTTCTTGCCAGTTTGGATATGGTCTGGTTTCTTTTCCTTCTCATAAGAATTTGGCAAATTATGTTGCCTTCCTTCTATTAGGACTGAAACTACTTTATCTCCAGAGAGGTTGGGACCTCCCTCCCTCTGTCCCCCCCTCCTCTCCCCACTCCCCCCCCCAAAAAAAAGGGAAAGAAAAAAGTCAGTGGGAAGAACTATTCGTATTTATTCCCTGTACTAGATATGACAGAAGACCTAGGTAAATTATCAGGGAAGAGGGAGGAAGAATAAATGAATTTCTAGGCTTGTGTCTTGGAGGCAGACCCTTAACAAGCATAATTTCTCTGAGACAGCCTATAAAACAACAGTCTGCAAGTAAAACTTGTACCACTGTTATTTATTGCAAGGGAAAACACAATTCCTGGTGCACTGTGTTTAAAAATTGTCTTAAAATGTCACCTGTATTACATCCAAGAATGGAGAGGAATTGGACTATACTCTAGAAAATATAGCCCTGGAAATATCATATATGAGTAGCATTGGAAATTAACTAGCAGACTTAATAGATCATTTCCAGCTTTTATTTCTATGATCCTGGAAACATATTACTCCAATGTTAAGCAGAAGCTCAAATGGTTTGTTAAATTGGGACCTTAAACATTCACTTGTTTTAACAGCTTTAAGCTTGAGCAAATACCACAGACGCAGATTTGTAACACGTAATAAAACAAGCTTTCAAGCCTGTTGAATAGGAGGAAGTATTTATTACCTGAGATCTATACTCACTCTGAGAGTTTTGCCTATTTAAGGTCTGAGTCAGATTCATAGATTTATAGCTTGTTAGGGACTGGAAGGGACCTTGTATATCATCAGGTCCAGTCCCCCTGCACTAGGCAGGAAAAGACAACTGGGGTCAAGTGACACCAGCAAGGTGACTGTCCACTCTCCTTTCAAAGATTTCCAGGGTAGGTGACTGCACCACCACTTGGGGGAGTTTATTCCACAGTCTGGACACCCTGACTGTGAAGGAGTTTTTTCCTAGAATTGAACCTGAAGAGGCCTTCCAAGACTTTGTATCTATTGCTCCTGGTCTTCCCCAGGGGTGCCCTGGTGAACAGCTGTTCACTGAGTTCTTGATGTGCTGACATAGTGGTAAACTGCTACCAACTCCCCTCTCAGCCTTCTTTTCTGTAGGCTGAAGAGGCCCAAATCCCTCCGCCTCTCCTCGTCTGGCTTGTCTTGCAAGTCCCTGATCATATGGGTGGCTCTTCTCTAGACTCTCTCAAGTTTTTCCACATCCTTGTTGAAGTGCAGCACCCAGAACTGGATGCAGTACTCCAGCTTCAGTCTCACCAGTGCGGAGTACACATCCTTAGTTTTGCATGAGATGCATGCCAGTGTGTTCTTTGTCCTGCTGGCCACAGCATTGCTCTGCTGTCTCATATTCATGTGATGTTCGATCGCTACCCGTAAGTCCCTTTCGGTCACGGTGCAAGTCAAATTGTTGCCACCGAGCCTGTAGGTATGTTGGGGATTGTTTGCCCCCCAGTGGAGCACTTTACACTTCTGAGTGTTGAACTTCATCTGTTTCTGGTCTGCCCAACTCTCCAACTTGTCCAGGTCTGCCTGTATCTGCAACTTATCTTCTGGCATGATCACACTCCCTCATAACTTGGTGTCATCCACAAACTTAGCCAGCGAGCTTTTCACTCCCACATCCAAATCATTGATAAAGATGTTGAAAAGCACCGGTCCAAGCATGGACCCCTGAGGGACACCAATGGCCACTTCTCGCCAGGATGGCACAGATCCATTCATGAGAACTCTTTGGGTCTTACCTCACAGCCAGTTTTCCACCCACTGAACTGTTGAACAGTTAAGCCCACAATCTTCCAGTTTTTCCATGAAGATATCGTGGGATACTATATCAAAAGCCTTTTGGAAGTCTAGGTATATAATGTCAACCTTCCCCCCATGTCCAGGTCGTGTAAGACCTGTTCATAGAAGAAGATGAGATTGGTAAGACAAGACATACCCATGATGAAGCTGTGCTGGCTGTCATTCAGAATCTTACCCTCAACGAGTGTATCGCACATAGATTCTTTGATGAGTTTTTCCAAGATATTCCCTGGGATAGAGGTTAGGCTGATTGGCCTATAGTTGCCCAGGTCCTCCCTCTTCCCCTTCTTGAAGATGGGCACAATGTTGGCCCTTTTCCAGTCCTCAGGGACCTCCCCTGTGTGCCACGATTTCTGAAAGAGCTTTGCCAGGGGTTCCGCGATGACCCCAGCCAGCTCCATCAGCACTCTTGGATGGAGTCCATCTGGTCCTGCTGACTTACAAATGTCTAGCTTTTCTAGTTGGTTTTGCACCAGCTCACAGTGGGAAGGCTATTATTCCCACCATACCCCCTGCGATCCTTATCTTGCTTGCCTTTCCCCTTGGTCCGGTGAAATACCAAAGACTGTTGTATAGTCCTCCTTGAGGACTGTCCCTAGCTTCTACTGTGTGTACACCTCTTTTTTCTTTTTCAAGAGGACCGCAATGTCACTATTAAGCCAGAAGGGCTTCCCAGGCCTTCTGCTACCTTTCCTCATCATGGGAACGGTTTTCTTTTGTGCTTTGAGGAGTGTATCCTTGAGGAATGACCACTCTTCATGCACCCCATTTGCTGGACATCCTTGGTCCCCCATCGCCTCCCCTACTAATGCCCTGAGCCAGTTGAAGTCAGTATTTTTGAAGTCCAGGACTTCAATCCTGCTACTTGATTTGTCAACCTTGCAGCAGACAGTGAACCCGATGAGCTCAAGGTCACCATCACCCAGGCTACCCTCAATGTTCAAGCTACACACCAAATCATCTCCTTTAGCCAAGATCAAGTCTAGGAGAGTGGTACCTCTGGTTGGCCCTTGCACTTCCTGGGTCAGAAAGAGCTCCTTGATTATAGTAAGAAGTTACATGACCAATCCGACCTAGTCAAGTGTTCCTCCCAATCAATGTCCAGGTAATTGAAGCCGCCCATGACAACCCAGTCCCTTGCACAAACTAGGGCTGCGCTCCCAGTGGCTCCAGGTTCAGCCAGGTGGGGAGCGCAGCTCTGGCTCTCCCCATCTTCTGTGGCTGGGCTGCAGGAAGCCAATAACAGTGCAGGGGAAGAGAACTGAGCCTCAGCTGCAGTCGGGCTGGAGAAGGGAACTGAGCCCAATGCTAAGGCAACTTAGCCCAGCTGAGCTGAGTTCCCTCCCCAGCGCGACCATTGGGCTGGGGAAACTAACTCAGCCCAGCGATGGTCACACTGGGGAGGGGAACTCAGCTCAGCTGGGCTGAGTTCCTTTCCCCAGCCCAGTGCTAGTGCTCAACTCAGCCCCAGTCCCTTTCCCTGGTCGATCCCAGCACTGGGGAGGGGAACTGAGTGATGGGGCTCAGTTCCCTTCCCCAGCTCCCCAATCCCAGGTGGCATCCCTACTTCATCTGGCAGGCAGATGGGGGCCTGCAACCCCAGGAGGACTGGCACAGCCTCCGCAGCCCTCCCAGGATTGGGCCCCGATCTGCCTGCCGGGTGAGAGAGTCTATTTCAAGCTTCCCTGTTATAGCCTATGGGTGAAATGTCAAAACAGTATTGAAACAGCATCACTGTTTGGATTAAACAAAACAGAACAGCAGTTTCAAATCCAAACAAAATTTGAAATGAAATGCTGTTCTGTCAAAACCTTGAAACGCAAGTCGAAATGGAACAGTGCCATTTTTCACAGCTCTACTTTGTAATGGGAATCCACCATAGTAGTAGCATTTCTTTTACGTCTTTAAGCAGGAGTCAGAGCTAGTATTCTAGTTTGGACATACCTGTTCTGTAGGCACTCTTAACCTTTTGCTTTTAGAAACAATGAGTTGAGTCCTCTGCTATTGGAAATGGATGCATGCAGCTTCTTTGACTTCAGATGAATTTTTCTAGCTGAGATGTTTGCCCTTGGTTTTTGCACCTTACCAGAGTTTCAATTTGAAAATATGTGCAGTGATGTCAATCTCCTCCCTTCTCCCATTATAAATGCAGTGATTGCTCAAAACTACCCTCTGTCTGAGACAGCAGCTGCATTTGGGCTGAGGTGCGTTAAGATTTCTTTATGAGGGAGATATGCAAAGCACCTGCTTATAGTGTACCTGGCTCTACCCAGTGTTGTCAGCTTAATTATATTTTATAGGACTCAAATGTGTGAAGTTCATCCAAAAGCAATTTGAAAAATATGCTTGGGATGCAGGAGCTAGATGTTACAAAACTAACATCCTACCACAGTAAAATACTAGGAGCTAGATGAGTTTGACAGAGTTGTTGTTATAACGTGTATGTTTGTGTGTGCATGTGTGTGTGTATATGCACGTACACACACATGTGGGATCAGATGTGTGGGGGGAGAGAGTTGCCATTTTGGCACTTGTTTATTTTAATGCTGCTTTGCTCTGACAGGTGGCCAGACGCTGTTGGTCAGGCAATATTTATGCTTATGAAACCATCTGCCAAGCGATGGATGAAAATGGGAAACTGAAGGTGACTCTCCCACACGTGGTAGATGAAGGCATTTTGGAGCAAGCCCTGCATCATTAACTGCATTCGGAATGCATCATTCTCCTTTCAGACTGATTTTGAAGTTGCTCTGTCTGGTAAAATAATAAAAGCACTGCATATGTCTCTTCTGTATGAGCAGTTCTTTTTCTGCATCATTCACAAGGTGGTCTCAAGACTCACGATATTTTGGGACTGATTCAGAACTCACTGAAGACGCAGGCAGTCTTGAGTAGCTGTTCAATATGAGGGGTATGCAATCTGTACCTAACTACATTCAAAATGTCCATTCCTATCTAACCTATCAGAAACTCAGGAGGTTCTTGTGTCTTTGAGGGAAGGGGCAGTTGTTTGAATAGTATGGGATTAGGAACCAGGAATTCATGGCTCCATTCCTAGGTCTGTCAGTGAATCACCTTGGTCATATCACTTTGTGTCTTTTTGTGGGGTAAATTCAGCCCTGCTGTAAACCCATTTATCTCCCATTGCCTTCATTTGGAGTTGTACTAGTTATGGCAAGGCTACTTTTGGTATTCTGTGCCTCCATTCATCCACATGAAAGTGGAGATGACAACCCGCACTTGTAGTGTTCGTTAATTGTGAATGTTTGTGCAAGTGCAAGCCAAATTACTGATTCTATTTGTCAGAGGGCTTGCTTTGGGCAAAGTTTGGGAGTTTACAATTGTATATACAAATGACTTTATCACATGCTAGGTCACAAAGTTAAATTGCACCATAGTATTCTCTATGACTGTTGCTCCTACAAACTGTTGTTAAGTTCAGGTTTGACTTAGTTCTTTCCAGTCATGACGGACCTTTGCTAGGACTAGTACAATCTTCAAAGAAAGATCTGTTACTACTTGCTGTGCACGCTTTGTTGTTCAGTATTCATTCAGAGCCAGAGTCCAACAGACGTGTGCTTCATTCAGTGTCTGAATTGTGTAGTCCATGTACAAGGCCTAATTCCCCACCATTTGTGGGCATTTTATGGTGGGAAGTGTCCTTTTGCTGGGAGCATATAGATACTGTGTAGACTATATTCAACCTTCTGCTTCTGCAGCTGGCACGCAGTAAACCAGGTCAGTGCCAAATCTCTGCATCCCAAATGTTGTCTCAAACACCGCTGTAGACTACAGTGTAGCCCTATTAATCACATTTTCTCCTGATCACGTACCGTACTCTCTACAGCTTCACTGTAAAAATTTGGCTTCTCCTTGGAGCCAAACAGCTTGTGAAGTACAACCTGTGGTAGATAGAAATGGCAATATATTACAGAAGAACAACTGCCACCAAAATGTAAGTAGCTCTTAAACCGAGATTGACACCTTGTGCTTTAACTTGCATGATGCCTGCATATAACCATTCTGAAAGCACTCCCTTTGATTTGAATACGAATTGGAGAGGACCCAAAGTTAGAATCTCAAGAGCTGTCTCTTGCAAAATTGTTACCACCTTTTGACTTCAAGTATATTTTTCATTGTTTAAAGGCATGGCAGGACTGTTCAGACACGAGTAACTACCCAGAAAATGCAACACGTTTCAAACTTCATGTCTCTGCAAGAGCTTTGGATTCAGACCTTCTTGCAGGCAGTTTCAGTTGGGTTTGTCTGTTTATTAATTGGCATGCACAAGTCAAGAGGGGTGATGCAATAGGAAGCAAAGGGTTGAAATCAATCCATGAATAATGTAGCATACTTAATGACATCCTTTGCCCTTCTTGAATTATGAAGCGTACATACATATTGAAATATACTTTGTTTTTTTAGAAGCCTTTCTGCCAATGATCTCAAAGCATTGGATAAATACGACAGGGTTGTAAAGGTTTGGTTTTTCCCTAAGGAATAACAGAGGCCTGAAATACTGCTAACACACTTTACCATGATTCATTTCTCATGTTCTGAACAGGGATATGCCTAACTTGTTCTGGACTACATGCTGTTCAAAAGACGTTTCCTTCTGTAAGAGTTACCTCTAGAAGATGCTCAAAATGCTTCTACAGCCAAGGCCAAGACTGATGGGCAGAGCAAAGAGGTGTCCCATCAGAGAACATTACAAATTACTTAGGTCTAATTACTGCAGGCAGCGGGAGAGCCCTACCATGGCCTGACTTCCTTAGGGGTTTCTAGCAGCATTGTCACCATTTGATAATTATGGGCATTAGGTACAAGGAAACCAAGGTGAATTCCCCTTTTCACAGGCTGTTAAGGAAGGGGTTTACACCCAAGCACCACATGGGGCTAGCCTCAAATAAAACCGTGGCCTTATTATTTGCACTTATTACTGCATTACAGGAAGCATTAGCCAATAACAGTAGCTTGTCAGTATTGGTGTACTGTTGGAACTGTCTTCAGCTCATTATAGTTCCACATAAGGAAACAATTCTTGCTGTTCAAGACTTAATATAAAATTACATTGTCAAGAGAAATCAATGTAAATTCAGAATACCAGTAATTGCACTCAGAGGATGGTTTGAATAGTGCCACAGCACCATCTGCTGTATGTTCCTCAGAATGCCATTACTGCTCAGATCGTGTCACAGCTGCGATGGTCCAGAGAATAGGTGAGAGGCAAGGCCATTGGTACACGCCACAAAATTGGCCTTTAAAGTGATTTAATGCCTTTTTGCACCGCTTTAATGGTGCAGCTGTTTGCACATGTCGGTGGCATAATGCGTTTTAATGGCGGGCTGTTTGCACCTTAGCATAATGCATGTTAAATGACTTTGGACTCAGCAAAATGAAAGATCTCCAAGGTGGTTTAGTTTGCTGTGGAGGAAAGCACTGGGCCCCATGCACCTCAGGTGCTGTGCAGGCAGTCTGTGTAGGCAGCCTGGCAGCAGCCTTTGCAGGCAGGCTTCACTGAAGGAAAAAAAAAAAGTGGCAAGCCTAATTTTTTTACTTTTTTCTCCCCTGCCTGAGCTGCGTGGAGGCCTGGTGCTTCTCTCCGCAGCTGTGGTGCCCTCCGGGACTGCTCAGGCTGGGTGCTTGCAAGCGGATGCCACTTTTGGGGTGCTGCTGCTGCTATGGAGGGAAACACCAGGTCCCTCTCACACCTCAGGGACCGCTCATCCTGCCAGCAGTTCGCATTTCCCTTCCCACCACTGGAGGAGCAGGTAAGGGTCGGGCCTGACCTTTGTGTACATGCCATGTTGTGTACAATGCCTTAAATTGAAGCGTTGTTTTTAAAGACCCACCGCTTCAATTTAGGTAGAATTAAGCCAAAGGAGACCCCCGTGGCGTGTACAAATGCCAAAAGATTTGTTTGATAATATCTTTTATTGGACCTACTATAGAGTTGGGAGTGTTATTATACCAAGTTGAGGGGACAAAATGCTCTGCGGTTATTTTATCCTTTTTGTCAGAAACGTGTCATAGTTTTCCTTTTTTCAGAAATGCAGGAGGAAGGGATACAGGAAAGGGCTGCATTCTGCTTTCAACTACGGTTTCCGGGCTGGAGCCTGAAGTTTGGATGGGGCATCACCTCAGTGCACGGTAATGCACTCCCTGGTGTCAAGGAAAGTACTACACAAAATCAAGAGGAGCATAGGGACTTTCTGGATTAACTGACATTGTGTTTTATAATAACTTTTTTCAACTGCCTTCAACTTCACTCAGTGGGAAAATCTGTTCTCCCTTAGGCTGTATTCCTGTCCTTTGCTTCTCCTCCTCTGTGCTCCATTTCTCCCTGTTTCATTTCTCCTCTTTTCTTTGCACAGCATTTCTTCCCCTGCAGCAACTCTCAATCCCCGCTAATGGGGCTCATTCTGCCCCAGTTCTCTGTACCGACTGACAAGCTAATCAGTGAGGAGAGTTTATGATTGCAGGTGAAGTGTCCAGCCTAGGCATTTCAGTGACATGCCTGTGTTTTGAATGAAGGAGTGGTCAATTCAAACTCAGGCCTACACAGAATTTGTTATACAGCTTTAATTATTTCAGTTAGGGAGTATATTTGTAGAGTATCCTATATACTAGAATGTTTAAGTTTCCAAAAGCCCAAGTGTGGACACAATTATGTTAATATTTAAGGCTGCTTACGAGGGTTGTGCGAAGCTGTGGTTGCTGATTCGATTTGGCAGAGATTTGGCCTGATTCAGTGGCCGAATCTGAATCGAATCAGGAGACCCTTTAATCTTTTGGAATCAAATTGGAACCCTCCGAATCGATTCAGAGAGATTTGGAAAGATTCAGACAGACACAGCTTTAAATGTTTTTTCTACATACCTCAAGGTACTAGGTGGCTCATGAATATTACAATGATGAGGTGGATGGAGTGTCCCACAGGAATGTGGGGGTCCCCAGCACACTCAGCAGCAGAGCTGGAAGTGGACCAGAAGCACTTCCAGTCCACTTCCAGGTCTACTGGGGAGCACGCAGTGGCCCTCCCCGCCTTGGTGACTGGTGCCTCCTCGGTCCGGAGGGGAACCCAGGGTCCCCCTGCAGCTGATCGATAAGCTAGAGGGGGTATGGGGGGCGCCCCCTGTGCGCTCCCTGGCGGACCCAGAAATGGACTGGAAGTACTTCTAGTCCACTTCCAGGTTCACCGTCAAGCATGCTCCCCACTCCTGTGGGACGCTCCATCCACCCCAGCATCACATCGTTCATGAGCCACACCTGGTACCTCGAGATATGTAGAAAAAATTTAAAGATGTGTCTGTGGCCGAATCACTGATTCACTGAATCAGCATCTAATCTTCAGTTTTGGATTCAGCCAAATTGAATTAGGGACAGTGATCCAAATCAATTAATCGAATCACTGTGCCTGGTTCGGGCTGAATCCAAATCGAATAGGGCCTGTTTCGCACACCCCTACTGCTTAGACATGGAAAAAAAGAAGCCAGTGTTTTACTTTCAGCTCAGTGCACCCACACAGAGCCCACCACATGCCCAGAAGAGGCATCACATCAGTTTGACCCGGCTTGCCCAACGCCTGTATAGATCACACGTCAGTGGTGCTTTTTGGTACTTTATCTAATAGCTGATTGAATTAATCAAGTCTGCTCTGACGTACTTGATTTATAGCACATCTGAGCAGCCTCCCTGCACATGTATAGGAGCTCTATTTTCCTAAAGTTTTGCATGAAAGTGTGTTGCAGGGGGTGTCAAAGATCCAGCCAAGCCAAGACAACCGGTTGTCCTAGTGTGGTCCCACATGGAAATGATGTGGCTTGCCTCATGCCCAGCTGCCTTTGATACCCAGGCATGAATGACCAGGTATCCATTTACAGCAGATTTGGCCAAGGGCAGCCTTCAGTATGAGGTGAAGCCCACAGCTCTGGATCCTTAGTGAGGTGCCTTAATGATGTTGCTGCCATGCCTCTGACAAAGGGGAAGCTACGAGGGCTGTGCGAAATTTTGCCGCCAGTTTTGTTTTGACACTGCTTCGACCCATTTCAAGGTCAAAACAGCAAGATTGAAATGGAACAGGCATAGTCAACACAGCCTCAAAACAAAATGAGGCAAGTTGAAACATTTCGCATTTCAATGCTGTTTTGATGTTTTGCCCATAGGCTATAATGGGGAAGGACAAAAGCCTATAACTTTGCTATTTCTGGCCTGATTTGGATGAAACTTGCAGAAATGGTAGCCCCTTCTGAGTGCATGAAGCCTGCCAAGTTTTAAGGAGATAAGTGCAGGGGGTTCAGGGAAACTGCACCTCAAGCTGCAGACAAGCAAAACTCGTGACATGGGTGACCCTGCGTGCATTAAGGTGCGGCAAGACGAAAGCTGTAGGCCTGCTAGCCCCTGCGGAGGCCACGAAGCCTGCCAGCTGTCGAGATCGGCACAGGGGCTCTGGGGCCCTGTGCCTCTGGCTGCCGACAGGCAAAACTTGTATCATGGGTGCTTGTGCAGTTTTGAGTAACTACAGTTTTCTGTAGCTGTGCATCTGCCCAGCACCTGCCATTTCAAATCACCCGCACTCTTGCTAGCCACCCGTGGCACTCCTATCTCCACACACACACACACACACACACACACACACACACACACACACACACACAC